TCTCTCTCTCTCTCCCTCTCTCTCTCTCTCTCTCTCTCTTTCTCTCTCTCTCTCTCCCCACATCCATCCACACACTGTGTGGCCTGTGACAGGGCTGGTTGTGGAGCGTAGAAAAGAGTGCTGGCAAGAGTGAAGGCAAGAGTGGAAGCTGGCAAGGTCCATGATCATGTCAATAGAGCAAAAAAGCTACAAGGGCTGTGAATACAAGATGTCCCCGAAATGTGCGAGATTCAAGAGAAGGCATCCTGATGTAAATGGTATGACGTGCAAATTGAAGGTGGAAAAGAGGACTGCTGCTCCCCACAATGCAAAAAGAACAGGTGCACGTGTGTGTGTGTGTGTGTGTGTGTGTGTGTGTGTGTGTGTGCATACACATGCACACAAGAGAGAGAGAGAGAGAGAGAGAGAGAGAGAGAGAGAGAGAGAGAGAGAGAGAGAGAGAGAGAGAGAGAGAGAGAGAGAGGGGTTAACTGGGATGCAACTTGGAGATCACCCGATCAAACATCTGTTCGTCCAGAGTTGAGGTTGCTAAGTCTGTGGTTCTATAACAGAACTGAAGCTGGATTGCACACACGTCATTTCACGAGGACGTGATGACAAGGAGATTTTGTCGGCTTTGCATAGTCTGACACACAGTCCATTAGGAAAAGTAAAACAAAGAAAGGTCAACCGATCTATGAACCGTCTGTTTTGCTATACGTCCGAGGAAACACAACTGCTCCTTCTCCAGAGCACTATGGCCTTGAGTGGAAGGAAACTACAGCATCAGATGACTCTTGTACCTTTTTAGCTATGCAACTACGTGTCCGCTTTGACGGTTCGCTTCGCATGACTGTATTTGATAAAGTGGCTGCCTGGGACTTCCCTGTCATTTGTTATCCTAGTGTAACCTCCAACATCCCTCTTCCCATCACCCGTCTGGTGTGTTCACTGGGCAATTGACCAGATTCGAACAAATTTATGACAACTGGCGGGACTTCGGAACTGCGGCAGCAATGCTTACTTGGCGCCTGCTTTCCCGTGGGCATCCCCCATCAACCCTTGTTAAGGATTGGACCAGCTACGCTGTGTTACCGTATGAACGCCAAGTACGCGCATTTGCGTACATACGCGCGCATTCAAGACCCCTGCGCGCGCTTTCAAATGTGTTTAAACCATGGCTGTGCCGGCAACCGGCCGGTAGGACCGGCCCGGATCCAACCGGGCTGGTTGGACCCCCGGTGGTCCAACCGGAATTCCGGTTGGGTCCAAAAGTGGGTAAATTTTTTTTTTTTTTTTTT